TTAGGGATGACGTGATACCAATGTTCCAGTATCGAGGGGCTGCCACAAAGAAAAGGGGGGTCGACTTATTCTCCAAAGCACCTGAAGGCAAGACAAGAAGCAATGGATGGAAACTAATCAAGGAGAGATCCAAGCTAGAACTAAGGAAAAATTTCCTGACAAAACAATTTATCAATAGGACGACTTGCCTCCAGAAGGAAGCTGTGGGTGCACCTACACTGCAGGTGTTTAAGAAGAGATTGGACCACTATGTGTCTGACACGGTATAGGGTTTCCTGCTTTAACAGGGAGTTGGATTCCAAGATTTCCAAGTTCCCTTCCAACTTTGTCATTTTGTTATTCAGTCATTAGGCAAAATATTAAATGACCATACAACTTAGCAGCAACCCTTCCAGTAATCCTGGTTGTGATCATTAACCAAGAATCTCACACTTCCTCTATGTGCTATACTAGGCTATACTTCTGTTTCCCACCCACCTATTTTCCCCCACCTATACCCCTTCGGCTGTCTTGCACTCCACTTTATACTCCTTCCCTGTTGCCTTCACTGTCGTCTTCTTCCCACTTCTGACAAAGTTGCACTTGGCCTGGCCCTTCGTGAGCAGCTGCTGGCTGCAAGTACCTCGTCAGCAGTGGGAAAAAGATGGCAAAGGTCGGCAAGGGGGAAAGATTGCACAGCAGCATGGGTGCAGAAGGCAGGGCGGCAGAGGCAGTGAATGGAGGGTTGCCAAAAGACAGAGATAGGGGAAAATAGATGTGTGGGGGAGGAGATGGAAGTGCATGCTGAAGTAAAAACAGTTGGGCTGAATTTTGATTATATGACTATGGGGTGCTGTAGCGGCTATCACTTTGGGATACATACATTTGTTCAGCACCATTGTAACTTCAAATGCTTGTTGAATAAATATTTATTAAGTGAGGACCATCTGTAGTCATTTGATGGATATGCCTACTCCTGTTTTTAAATAATCCAAAATGCCATGGGTCACAAAAGTCAGCTATCCTGATATTTATTCTCATTATGCCAGTGTTGCTTTATAGTATAAAATTTTCCCTATTCATAGATAAGGAAGCACCTTATCCAAGTTATCAATTAAGTCAAAATGCAGCTGAATTTTGCAACCTAATACTTTAGCCCCATCTGCTAGATGAAGCTGCTTAATATGGGCTTCCTAATAGGTCCAAACCATTCTTGTTTTAGTCTTGCTATAAGTTGTAAACTTTATTTTCATCTTAGGAGTTCAGAATCTTTTCGGATATTTAGCTTTACATTCTGGAGCACAAGTCATTCCTGTGAGGCTAAATGGTCTAAAAAACCTACTTCCATATCAAATTAAACATGAATAAAATTGCACTTAGACTAGTATTTTGCTCTGTTTTAATTAATTAGCAATTAATATTGTTCTTCTGATGTAGCTAAGCCAAATTTGATACTGAAAGCACATTTAGTATTTTTAAAATATTGCTGATTGGATGTCTATGGAGATTCTCAGTCATCCAGGTCATGGCTGTCCCAAAGATGTTTTTTCACGAGGCAACTGGACTTTCTCGTTTTTCTTTGAAGACATTTCACTTCTCATCCAAGAAGCTTCTTCAGCTTCGACTGGATNAAAATTATGTTGCTCACCATCTCCATTTCAGCAGCCTTCCCAGCTAAGCCTTTTGGAACCAGGAGGAAAAGGAGGGTTGATAGATTCTTGGAAGCTGACAGGCTTGATAGCAGTTTAATCACAATCCTGTGTCAAATTGTGCAATTATGTCATCATCATCTTCTTCTTTCAGGAAACAGATTTAGATTTGGAAATGTTGGCACCTTATATCCCCATGGACGATGATTTCCAGTTGCGCACCTTCGACCAGCTTTCTCCACTGGAGGGCAATACTGCAAGTTCTTCTTCTAATGTGACTCCTGTGACAGGGTTTCAGCAAACTCCAATGCAGTCATCGGCCACTGACACGATAAGATCCACGACAATCAAACATGAAACTGCTCCGAAGATGCTTGTAATGCCTGCCCCTATTAATCCAAAAGTACTCACAGATCCTGCTCCCATAATCAGTGCCCCGGCATCACCTTATGCTAAGAATCAAAGTCGGACTTCCTCTCCAGTCAGAACGGGAAAAGGCACAATAGACCCGACAGACCAAATAAGTACAGGAGCACCGGACTTGTTGACAGTCACTTTTGATAACAGGTAAATGGGGTTATCTGTCAGATCGTAAAAGTTGATCTATACTCTTAAACACATAAAGGTGAATGAACTTGTGGATAGCATTGCTTGCAGGCACTAGTAAGTTCACTGATCCTACTTGTTTTTCTTTTAGAATTTGTCTTATTAAAAAAATAAGGGCAAACCATTAACTTTTAGGCTGGAAACTATTTCTAGAAAAGTCTTTCTGAGGATCGAGAAAGGCTTTTCTGGAAATAGTTCTCAGCCTAAATGCTGGATAACGGGGGAGGAGATTAATTTATTTTTGTTAAAAAGGTATCTTGCTCTTGGCTGTGACAACTAATTTGTAAACAGGGAAATCTCCTCTGATACAGGTAGTCCTCAGTTAAGGAACCTTATTGGGACAGGAGTTTCCATTGCTAAGTGATGTTGAGACTCTAGACTCTAGAAAGAGTGCAGAGAAGAGCAACAAAGATCTTTAGGGGACCAGAGGCTAAAACATATGAAGAACAATTGCGGGAATTGGTATGTCTAGTTTAATGAAAAGAAGGACTAGGGATGACGTGATACCAATGTTCCAGTATCGAGGGGCTGCCACAAAGAAAAGGGGGGTCGACTTATTCTCCAAAGCACCTGAAGGCAAGACAAGAAGCAATGGATGGAAAC